CGTTCGTGGGGGGGGGGGGGGCAGGGGCAAGATTTTGTGGGGTTTTTTGAATGGATAAAGTTTAATCACTAAAGTTTCTAAATTAAATTATATCTGTGCATGAGATCTCTCCTGAAAAATCTGGGCAACTTTATACCACAACTCTTATCCTCAGAAACTTTACTATTTAGTCAGAAATGTCTGAAAATGGGGCCTTGCAAGACCCAATCTTTGCCAAGATGAACTTGGAAGCTGAAGCAATCTGGAACTTGAACATAATTAAGGGTACGTACTTCTTTACACTAAATTAAGCTAAAGACAAAATGAAAAGACAGCAAGATTTAAAATTTAGGCAAAGCTAATAGTGTCACGTACAACTAAGACAGTCTAGTATATTTCCTCTTAAAATGCTCTGAAGACATCAGAATTTTGCTAAGCTTCAAATGTTTGGGATGCAACATCCCATGCCTCATTTTTGCTTCAGGCAGATCATTCTTTCATGTGAAAAGAGGCAGGCATTTTCATAAACGTTAATGAAAAAGAAGCAACTTTAACAAAGGATATAATTTTCACCAAATATTTCTATGAAAAAGTCCTGGCATTATAAAAAGAAATGTACCTCTCAAGGAAATCTGCCTTGAACTCAGAGGTGTATTTTGCTATTCCAAAAATCCATGTCCCTGTGGGACAGAGCTCCTGTCCATGTGCTATGTGCATCCAGCTATGCACATATAGTTATGCGTGCTGGCTGCATCGAGCATGCACTCATGGCTCGAGGAGCTTCCTAACTTGAGGCAGTGAATAGTCAGCTCGGAAAACCTGCAAAAGCCAGGACTTTCATCTCCACATGTCCTGAATGACTTATGCCTGCAATAGCTGTAGCTACATCCTTTTCTTGATCTAACCACAGGAGCCCAAAGAAAAATGCATTCAATTAAGAGCCAAGAAGCAATCATGGGTTCTGCTCTCAGCTCTTCATCTCACCATTCATCCTTTGCACGTCACAGCCCTGAATATTGAGAAATAGCTTAGACTGTCCTAAGAAGAATGCAGTCTGTTTACAGAGATGATAAGAGAGATTGCACAACCATCACGCTGGAACGTAATTCAGGTCTCTAAATAAAGCAGCTTGAATATCAGTATTAACTAACCACTCTTATTCCCATTTAGGATCAAAAATGAACATCACCTATAGTCACTACAGTATACTTCCCTTCCTAAGACAGAAGCAGCACCAGAAGCTGGCATAATAATTCTACAGTTTTATTTGAAACCAAACACTGAAACACCTTAAAAGCACACTCAATAATACAAATTAAGCATAAATCAGGGCTGCACTTAATGCTTGCTGACCACAACTACAGAAAAGGTAATTTCTTTCCATTCTATTTCACTGCTTTTGTATATTAAAAAGAGTAAACAAAATCATATGCTGCTTTTAAAATTTGCTGGAATAGTACTTACTAGTAATCTGCATTTTAAAAGGCTTTATATTTTTAAAGGATTTTGGTTTGTTTTTACAAAAAATGTCAGCTTTGCTGGAAAATTGTACTTTTTTTTTGTAGGGAAGCCAAAACATTACAGCTTAAGGCTTCAGAACTGTTTCAGTATTGTCAGCTTTCTACAAAAGGGTGTATTTTTTCATTGAAAGGGTTTTATGAAAACATTTTGTCTCTTTTTACTGAAAAAAGTTCATTTTCACTGTAGAAAAATACAACCTTTTCCCAACAGTCCTAGCAAGATCTCTTACCATCCCAGCATCATGTCATAAAATACCATATTTAATACATATTTTAAACGTAGATAACACAGGCTACCTGAATTATCAAGATTCACTTCATTCATGATTCAAGTTTAACACTATGATATGGCAGTCAGTATTATCTGTATCACGTTACTATCCTTTGCTATTGTTTTCCTCTTCATTTTCCTACTTTTCTATTATAAACTGCTAGATTATGAAAAAGAAAATTCTAGAGATACATTTTTTCCCTTGGAGACCTCCCGTCCAAATACTGAACAGCGTTAACTTCACTTATCGGATACATTTTGACAAGATCATAACCCATGCTGGTGTGGCCACAGGTCAGTGAATTTTGTTTTGAATTTTGTTTCATTTGCTGAAGTCCAAGGGAATAAGATAACAGGATCCAAAGTCACATCAGCTGTCCTACATAACGCTGCTAGTGCAGAAAAATCCTCTGCCTCTGCCCTGCCCTTGCCTATGTAACCCTGTTAGGGTCAGTCTGATCCTAGGCTTTGGGTAGGCATGGAGCTGGAGTAAGGGCATATTTTTTGTGTAGTCCTTGCATTATGTGCAAGTACTGCTGCCTCTACACCTGGGGTGAGCACTCCTCTCCACTGCACCCCTCAGGGATGAAAAACACGCCCAAAGATGGATAAAGCAGAGAGCACACATGCACTGCCATATCCAGCGCACAGTACAAATGAAGACTGATGACTATAAGAATGTTTTCATGAAGGATGTAGCTACACCTTGAACCTCCACATGTCTTACAGCAGGAACACCCAACCTAGAGCTAATATGTGATCTATCAGGATAATTCATGTATTGAACTCTGAGCTGACCCTCTCACAGGGGAAGGTTGGAGGGTGTGGTGACAGATGAGGTCAGCCTTGTCTCAGAAGCAGGAGAGGCCATCCACTGCACAGCCCAGACTGACACTACTGACAAGCAATACTTTTAGAACAAATATTACCAAAACCTTCTAAGACAAACATGTTTTCATTAAATTCTGAATTGAAACTACCAGGGAAATCTCAAATGTGAGCAATTTGAACCTGAAAAGTAATTTGCTACTTTAAAGTTTTCATGAATAAGTACATTTACACTTAGTGCCTGCAACAGAAGATGATATAGGTGATCAATCTAAATGTAAAAGCCCTACTACTATGCCACAATTCATGTTTCTATACATTTAAAGTACCATCAACTAGAGTTGATGGGGTATTTTCAGTGAAACCAGAATTTTTGTAATATGTCAATTTGGATATGCCATTTGCTGTAGAAACAAACCTGTTCTAATCATCTTCCAACAAAACATATAAAGGATTCATTCAGTTGGGAAAAACCTGACCTGCAAAGCAAGCTTCTACTGGGAATCCAGAGTAGTTTCCTTCCACCTATCCCACTGAGTCACTGAAGATCCCAGATGTCCAACTGCAGAGCAGTCCTCTCCTGTAGAGCAGGCCCCAGTAGCACTGGGGCCAAGAACCAGGGGTTTTCAGTATAGCTGGTGTAGAAATTAAAAGCCCCTAAGATCTCGGACTCTGCATGCTGGTTAGGTAAAAGTGGCTTCTAACAACTCTGGGCTGCCAGTCAGTCGCCTCTCAGTCTACTGAGGCCATAGCTCAGGCAAGAGGTCTGAAAAGTGGGCTACCATGACCATACCACAAAATACATGCATTTAAAACACACTGAAAGGAGAAAGACTGGATAGAAGAAATTTAAATCAATATCCTCCTCACCCTTAAGTCACAAAATACCCACCTTTGACGTTAAAAAATGACCTTTATTACCTTGAGATAAAAAGCACCATTCGCTTATTTTATTTGCTACAAGTTATTTATCTACATATTCTGTGCAAATTTCAGTCAAATACAGAGGTCTGACCATACTGATTCAGTGGCCAACATGTTACCAGTGCTAAAGGTCAGAAATTACAGATATTTACTTACTTTTCAGTACTTGCATGTGGGTATAGGAAACAGAAATAAAATAGGGGAAAGGGCTAAAAATTCTGGAGTTTAAAACAGAAACCTCCATGAAAGTACTACTTGATGATATGATGGAAGGGAAAGAAACAGAATACCCCATGTTATTGTCACTGAGTTGGCCTGTGACTCAGTCTGTTCTGTTTCCAGCATACAACAAATGCAACCATTTTATTTTTTTCCTCCCTCACTGAAACATACAAGCAAATTTTACTGACAGACTCCTTCAGCTGCTAAGCCATTCTCCAGCTGAGACAGCCACCTACACAAGCTCTGAATTCAAGCCAATAAATTTAACCACTTAGGAAATTAAGTGAGAAAGTCATTATATTCAATTTTTTTCTTGAAACAGATGTTCCATTTTTCCATGAATTTGTATTTTTATCATAATAAACACAAGCTTCATTTTATGACACTTATGTATAGGAATTCAAGTCATGCTTTGAACAGGTTCTAAAAATAGCCTTTATTTTTTTCCTTTTCCTTCTAGTTGGGGGCCAAGCAATGTGCTAAGCATTTCCTTCTGGAAGGAAATCTCCAACAAGTTTGCCTCTTTATTTTTAGGCAATGCAGAAAACCAGATGTTTATTTAATTAAATCCACTCTCATACATTGCATTCAGAGATTTTGTAGCTGTTGTTGGGAATCATTCAAAACACCATTAGCTCTTACACATGCTCTGGAATTCTTACCATTTCAAGGACTAACCATGCATTACGTTTGAAAAGGATGCGCATATTAAGACTAGGGTAATTTTGCCAAATTGGGCACCCTGTAGTTGCCATATGATAACATCAAACCTGATCAGCTAAACTTCAGTAAACACCACATAACTCTACTAAAAACATACTATTTTAAGACAATGGCACTATTTCAGAGTTCAAACAAAAGTGAAATTCTAAAACTAAATATGGGGAGGGGAAGGTTGAAAGGAAATTACTGTGTTATGGTTCACAGAATACATTCTGAGCACAGAGAACAAGTCTATGTTTCATGTACTTCTGTCCGTATCATTACCCTTCCTTATTAGGAATTACCTAAAAAATTACCTTTTCTTATTAATATATTTCCAACAGCAAACATATTTGTTACTGTATGTCTTACTAAGGATTCAGAAGAAGCTTAATGCAGGAAAGTGAGTCCTTTTCAGGGACAGAGGTTTGAGAATAGCCAGTTATTAAACAACTCACATGACTAATAATGCATTGAGTTAATAACACTGTCACTTTATACTTGAGTGTGTTCATTAAGATGAGTTTGACAAATATCTAAGACTCAGGCACTGAAAGCAAGTAGCAGAATTTTAATCACTACAGTGTATTAGAAGTCTTAATTGAAAAGCTGAAAATAATAGGAGTGAAGTCAGTGATAGGCAATAAGGATTATTTAACAAATTTCCCTGCCATAAAATATTCAGCATTGTAGGCACTTAATTTGCTATAGCTTCTATCATGAAGTTACTGTACAAGCATGTCTAATGCATTTTAATGTTCATATACGCTAATCTATCCAAGTTATTGCTGATGACAGCACGTTCAAGGTAATTACAAAAAGAAGCGTATTTTCACCTAGTCTAAATAAGCAGCTGTCAAAGTATGCTTGCCTCTTTTGGAAAGTGTTAGGTCAACTAGATCTCCTCTCAATGACAACATGTAGAGGTTTACTTTATCTAAGCGCCCTTTCTTTTTCAAAATCCTGCAAACAATATCAAGGCATGATTACGCACTCTCTGTCATTTGTCTTTAATGTTTTAGGTTTTTTTAATTTGAGATTGAGGATTACAACTAAATTGCAGAAAGGTTTGTCTGAATACAGACCAGCAATTATATAGCTTTTGTACTTGCTAAAATTCCTTCCCTTGAGGCACAGTGAATTTCTGTGGAATGTGTTATAGTGACAGCCCTGTACCAAAAAAACTACAGGGCCCTGAACTCTGGCATAAGAGCATTGCTCTGCTCTAAATTACATATATCCCAATTACAGAAATGGAAGAGCAGTTCTTGAAAATGCTGCTACACAAGAAAAGAAAAAAATACTTTAAATGGTACATTTCAAGTCCCACAATGCGCTGAAGAAACACAATGAATTTGGATTAAAGCAAAATTAGTTGCTTAATCCACATTTAGAATGAACCAAATCTTCCCACACTACTCAATGAACAACAACCAAAGGTTTGCATAAGTCCACAGATCAGGAGACTTCATGTGGAGCAGGCAGGAAACAATTTTGCAGTGTCACAGGCAGTATTTAGGGGGTTCTTTGTTCAGTGTAATTTTTATGCTTCTTTCATGGCTTGCTCTGCTGAAGCCTCCTGGAAGGCAGGGGGAGACTGAACCCAGGGCTGCAGAAGCAAAGCACATCCTTAGGCACAGGAAGTTCAAGGAACGAACAGCAGGTGTGGTAACAGCAGGAGATGTGGGCAGAGAATAGAGCTGTATGGAAACTATTTTTTTGTTTCTGCTAGTTTATCTATTACCATGAATATCTCCTTAAATGCGACTATTCAATATTCTAATTTTAACTTGTCAGACTTCTTGGGGAACTCTGTCAGTTAGTCCAGACAGGTTGATCTCAAAGCTTTCTCTGATTCAGTGTCCCTAACTTTTCCTTTCCTCTGCACTGCACAAAGGCCATTTCCCACTGCATAGCTGATCAAGCCTCAGTCTATCAGACTAATGTGCAAAAAATGCACTTGTCTTGCTACCTTTTCCAGCCAACAAGCTTTCCACAAAGCTTAAAAGGGTAAAATCTCTTCCTCTAGGTCTCAGGAAGCTCTCTTAGGAAGTGAAGTAGCACAACTGAGCAAAGTATTCAAAAAAAGTGAACTACTTCCATGTTGAAATTTGTGTCTGAAAAAAACCTGTGTATTATATTCAAAACTGACTTTTAAAAAAATGTTTACATTGCTTGCTTTATATTTCTTTTACTGAAACTTCACTTGTGTTTCCCTTCCACCTTAGTGCAGGCAGCTCAGATGTTTCAATATAAAGCATCTAAGGCAATTTAAAGATACACTCACATCTACATCTATCTTTCTGTATAAACTAATTATAGTACTTAAAACAATACAAAAGGAAGATTTTGGTGCTGCGACTACTTCATCTTCTTGTTTTCTAGGGCTAAGGGTGGTTCTGGTTACTACTGAAAACTAACTCAGAAACAGCTATGATTTCTTCACAAAACTAAACTATTAAAGCTCTTCCATTTGCAAGCTATAAAAAAAAAATCATCTTACACAGATTCTACTTAACACATTACACATGTATGTTACTTTAGCTCAGCCAATAGTAAGGGCCTACCTACAAGCTGACAAAAACTTATGGACTCAGTGCTTAATAAATAATAAATAATCAACATTTTTTTTTCAACCTGGCAAAATGCTTTTAAGCAGGCATTGACAGCAGTAAAATCAGAGCAGCAGTTAAATTAGGCTTTATAGATGTGTATCTGTGAACACATACATGGTGATGTAAATTATCAATATTCTAAGTCAAACACTAAACAACTGCCCTCTTTCCTGGAAGCCTGTTATTTTATACAGTGGTGCTCAGTTATGGACAACACTTAATTTACAGAGTAGATCCCCGATAAAAGCTGTGATTTCAGAGAACTGAGGTGTTGACAGTACCTCAGGATCACAAAAACAGTGCAACACATGCTTGCTGAAAACTGTTACTCCCTCCTCAATACACAAAGCCACAAGTCTTATGACAGTACCTCCCATCCTTCAACATGAGACTGCCATTCTTCCAAAAACTCTAGTTTTTCCATTTGTCTCTTGGCCTCATTTATGTTGGAACAGACAGCTTTCATGGCCTGGAGGGCTTCCATTAGTGCCGCGTAGTCACTGTGCTTCCTTGGAGTCCGCTTCAGTAACTCCTATTTAGACATTAAAAAAAAAAAGAAAAAAGAAACCTGTCTTTGATCTCTAAATGTACATTACAGGAGGCTTAAATTGACTAGGATACAAAATGACAAAGTAGCCAGACTTCTCTTTTACTAGGTGGAAAAGTAATTAACCCTCCAGCATAGTGTCATTGTGACACTGAAACTCAAAAAAATACATTATTAATAACAAAAATAATCACTACTTAGAAAAAAAGTTCGCATTTCAGCTACTTTCTCCCCCCAACAATGTATCTTCATGTTGAGCCTCGTTTTCGTTTGGCTTTGGGTTTGCTTTTTTTTTTTTAATATATTCCGCAGGATGGAACTGTTCAACAGCAGGGATAACAACTCTGCTTAAAAATGTTTGTTTACTCATGTCAAAATTAATACCTGCCTTTCTGGTAACTCAGGGCAAAACCCATGTTCCTTTATCTCCACACTATTGTTCAATGTACACCAGAGCCCTGAACAATAGCTTAGGTGACTCATTGATTTCAGGTGGTTCCTGGTAATGGCAGCCATACTAAAAACCAGAAGTGGAGTTGTCAGATTTCTCATCTCAAACTACCAACTACCCATTTACAACTGGACCGACTTATGGACAGCCTTCAGTGTGCACCCCAGCTGAGGCGTGGGTACATTCTTCTGGAGCTCTAACCCTGCTGTCACCACACCCTGTACTTGAATTTATTTAACATATTTGTTTTATCACTCCCTAGAGTAATTCATTAGTCATTTTCCCCTGTTTTGTCTGTAGATCCTTCATTCAAAAAATAGAATGTAAAAATAATTCTAATATAGGCCAAGGGAACTGTAAAACCACAGATATCTAGGATGACTCAAACCTCACTGCAATTATTATATACTTTAACGTTATTGTTTTAAAAACCTTTATTTTAGCATGTTTACTTGTAGGTTTTTATGCCAGTGCAATGAAAGGTACATGCCTCATAATTGGCAGTATTTCAGAATTAAATTCATGCATGCATCGTGAAAAACACTGTCCAATGAACAGGTTTCAAGTAGCTTCTAGAGCAGAATCTGCTCTGGCTTTTCTTTCACGGTTTGAAACAATAAACAACATTAGAGCTTAATTTGTCAAGCAAAAATTTGTTTTAAATATTTACTTTCCTGATTATGATATTATTTTATTTTCTAACATGGAAAAATTTCAGCAACTCAGAGGTTTTACTATTAAATGTTTATCAGCACATTTAACATTTTTCATTAAGTTTTAAGTTGTAAAAGTAAGGTAAGAATATACACAGAAATTTGCATAGAAGGACCTACAACATCTCATTGTTACTCTACAGTTTTCTTACAAATAATTTTCAAAACTACTTTCATTTACAATTTGCCAATGGTAAATTAGAATTATCAAAGCACGTCACTAACAAGCTCTACTATCCCAAGGATTTTCAGCAAGGGCATGGTCAAACCCAGCTGAAATCAGTCTCATTAAACTCCCTTAAACGGCTCACTTCCACTCCACAGTGGAGAGGCAACCTTATGAGTGGATGCAGAAGGGAGTGAACCATCTTGACCCAGCCAAACTCCTCAGTTCTTTTAATACTGATGTCAGAAGACCTGCCATGAGCTTTAATGAGAGCAAGGCTGGGTCCAGTATCTAATAAAGAGATTATTCACTGTATAGAGAGATTGTTCCTGCAGTTCGGAAATATGCTTAGCAACCACTTTAAGACAAAGTATAAAGTGCTAAATAAAAATCTTGTAAGTACCTTCAAAAGAAGGGGATACTTGCATATTCTCTGTATCGGCGTTACTAGATATCCCTCCAACGGTACGTCCGTGTTCTTGCGTCCTCCAAGGAGCATGCAATTCTAGAGTGTGAACAGTTTCACAAATTATTAAAAAATCTTGAGAAAATTATCAGAAATAGAGACAAGGGCATATGTACACTGCAATATTAACTAACCTATATATAAATCATATACATATACATAATGAGAGAGGTTTGCAACACTGTCAAACGAACAGGCTCAGACACATGCATAGACAGGTACACTGATTGTCATACATGACAAGGAAGCCAAAATGTCATTATGCAGGCATCTCCCCTAGGTACATAAAATGCTAAAAACACACTTCCATACTTCAACAAATAAAAATAAAAATAATTGATAGTGATCACTATAGGTGCTGTTGCTTCCAAAAGGTGGGTTCACAATATTAAGTAGCATCAAAGATGGTTTGAAAGATTTGAACATGGACATCCTAATACACACCCCCCAAAAAAGTGTTCTGTTTACATGCTTCTATATTTAAACATGATATGCAATGATTAAAATATCCTTAGTCATAGGCCAAAGAACATGTAAGTTTTGACAAGACATCCAACTATGGAAGCAGAGAATATATGAAATACTGAGTGGAAGCATCCATGAAAAAGCAGCTGAGAGAAAGAGAGAGACAGAGAAAAGAACAAGGGCTATTTGGGATGATGAGGTATGCAGGAGACATCACAGCAAATGTTTGGAATTGCTGGAATTAGTGTTAGTGCATAAAGACCTAAAGTAATGATGAAAATAATTTTATGGAGAGATCAGAAGGAACTGTGATGCAATGGTATGAGATAATCTACGCCTTCAAAGAGGAGATGTCTAAACTGAGAACACTAAACAAAAGTAGTTTTACACAGCCAGATGGTGTGTTGACGCAGGCCACAAATCGGGATGCAGACACGTTGTTGATGGAACAGAGGCTACACAACTGGGTGGCCACTTCACTCAGCACGCAACTCACATACCCCATAACCGGCGCTGCTACGGGTATCTCTACACCCACTCTTAAGCACTTTGTACTCATGGTTAACCAGCTTCTGTCTTATCCTAAAGGAACCTTTATCCTAAAGGATCTCACTTAACCTGCCAAGAAAAAAGCTTTACTGATAAAGACTGAGCAAGGTAATGACAATGCAGACTATAGGTTTACAGTCTCTGTGCTTAAAGGCTCAAAAGTCTGGATTCAGCTCCTGATTTTTTATAGATAATCACATCTCTAATGACCTGAACTGTTCTGACTGGCTAGAAGGCTTCAACTGCACTTTCAAATCGCAGAGTCAGACCTCCTGTTCTCTAGGTTAGACTGCTGACGCTAATTCTACAGACATGTCCTGAATCTATGAGGAACCCAAAGCAGATGTGAAAACCCTCTGCCTGTGCCCAGGAGGATATGACACTGACAAATCAACAATGGCCCCAACTGCATGCTTGGCTTCCCTTCTCACAAAACAAGCTCTTTGCAATCTTTCTCCAGAGTATTTTGCTTTTTGTCTCTGTAGTCAGCATCCACCCTTTCTTCTTAAGTCTGGCCACGCTGCTACCAATACAAGAACCACATGTGTGAAACTTCTCCATCTGGGGCAAGGTGAAGGATACTGTGTCAAACGCTGAAGAAAAATAGGACAACTTTGAAGCTGTTTTTAACTACAAATGGAACACTGCTGAGAAAGAGACTCTTAGCAGAAAGGCAGATGGTGCTTCATGTCACCAGTACGCCCTACAGTAAGGAAATTCCCAAACTGCTCATTAACTTGTCTGTAAGTAAATGCAGCTAGGAAGGGAATCAGATCCAGTACCTTGCAAAAATTTAGAGAGCTGCAGTAGGACAACTTCACCAAGAATTCTGTCTGCAACAGTAATGAAAGCCCACTGCATGCTAAAAGTAATTAATAAAATTAAATAAAACTTGTGATACTGACAGTATTGACATAATCTTATTTTCTAACCATATCCATGATGCTTTGCTGATAGTATCATTTGCTCTCCAGTCCCAAAATGCATAATCAGATCTGACCACTCCAGAATTTGATATCATATCCACAGGCAGCTTCTCAGGTATTTAAGTTCCAATACAGTAGGCCTCACACTTCAAACCTGACCTTGTTATCACAGGACACTATGAACACAAAAAATCATTCCACACTGAATCCTTCTTTTAACAACTAATGACAGCTATTTGGAAACTCAATATTTACATGGAAACTTGCTTTGCTGTGGGAAACTAATGAGCACTGTCATACTTAACACTTTAAAATCCCTCCTTATATGTCTTATAAAGTAAAAGACTAATTGTGTAGCTGTTTCTTTTGACCTCAGACCAAGTCAGCATCTAAGATCAGGATGGTTACTCTATGATCCATAACAAAACATTTTTACATCTGGCACAGCTGTGGCTACAGTACCAGAATATGGACCTTCTCTTCAGAAGTTCTGACAAGCCCTTCAGCTTCCTTTCTATAATTTCTTTCCTTATCCCTTCTCTTATATCTTATCCTATTCTTCTTACTTTCTAAAGATGCGGCTGGATTTACACCCTTATCTCTTGGTCAGCAAGTTCAAGACACGCTGCCTAACACCGCATTATGCACAGATCCCAGTGCAGCAGTGAAAATAGAATGCACACAACTCCTTCCTCTGAAAACACCACCCTCAGTTGAAACTGCTTGCTAACCACTTGCAGGTATGCTTGTAGTTGTTATATGGTGAAGGAGACAGTGCTAACAATTCACTGCCCGGTCAAAAAATATTGTTAGAACACCAGTTCAAAGTTTATTTACCAAAAGAAATGTCCGCACTGTTCTTATTTTGTTAAGATCAAGCAGAACTTTCTGTGCCTTCTCGTGGTTACTGCAGTATTCATCATAGATACGGAATTTCTCTTTCTGCAGAAACAAAGAAATACATTGTTCTTCACTTGCCATTTTGATTTTTTTTTTAATTAGTAAAACATGGAATAAACACTTGTCAAAGCTGAATAGCTAATATAGTCTTCATTTTGGAAATTCAGCTCTTCCTTCTATGCTTATTATTTGAAGTCCAGACTCAAATTAGAATATGAACAGTCTGGAAGCGTCACTTGGGAATTTCAATCATTGAATCACAGAATCACAGAATACCAGGCTGGAAGGGACTTCAAGGATCATCTGCTCCAACCTTTCTTGGCAAAAGCACGGTCTAGACAAGGTGGCCCAGCACTCTGTCCAGACAAATCTTAAAAGCGTCCAATGCTGGGGAATCCACCACTTCCCTAGGGAGATGATTCGAATGGCTCATTGTTCTCATTGTGAAAAATTTCCCTTTTCTGTCCCATTAGAATCTCCCCAGGAGTAACTTGTACCCACTACTCCTTGTCTTTCCCATATGACTCCTTCTAAGGAGGGAGTCTCCACCTTCTTTGTAGCCACCCTTTAAATACTGGAACATGGTGATGAGGTCTCTCCTAATCTGGCTTTTCTTAAGGCTGATCAAACCCAGTTCTCTCAGCCTTTCCTCATGTGACAGCCTTCCCAGTCCTTCAATCATTTTTGTGACCCTTCTTTGGGCCTTCTCCAGGCTGTCCACATCTTTTTTGTATAGCAGGGACCAAAACTGAACACAGTGCTTCAGGTGTGACCTGACAAGTGTTGGGATAATGACTTCTTTATCTCTGCTGGTGATGCCCTTTTTCATACAACCCAGCATCCTCTTGGCTTTCTTTGCCTCAGCAGCACAGTGTTCACTCGTACTGAGCTTGTGGTCCACCAGGACCCCCTGGTACCTTTCCAGAGAGCTGCTGCCTAGCCAGGTAGATCTCAGCCTGTGGTGCACTCCTGGATTATGTTTTCCCAGGTGCAAGACCTTACATTTATTTGTCTTTTTTGAACTTCCTACGGTTTTGCTGAAAAATTTCAGAGGCTGGAACATAACAAAAACATAGGATTTAAAAAAAATAACCAGGAAAAAAATACAAGAGTGGCTTATCTGCTGGCATCATTATCTATTTTGCCTGCAAATACTTGTTTACAAATATGATCCATACTTCTGCAGAATCAAAAATTGATGTTACTCAACTTCTGTAAAATGTTTCCATGAACCATTAATAATTTTTTCCTTCCACAATGAATAAACAAAGACTTAGCAAATAAATGGGACTCTAACCAGAGATAACAATGAAACCTAGCCTTTTTCTTAGGCCTACAACTGAAAGCAAACTAACTTGTCCTAATTTTGCAGAGCTCTGTAACACTGACATCCTTGTTTTGCTCCAGCAGGATAAATAACACTCTAGAAAACAATTACTACAGAAATACAAACATACTTTTGGAGGTACTGCAGTTTTGAGAAGTAAAATATCTTTATAGTCCAGAATCATGGCGATATTTTACCCAACACATGCAATTATTTGTTAAATACTCACATTTTTTGCCTAGCATCAAAAGAGAAGAAAAATAAAGCGTGTTACTACTTTTGCTGTTTCATGCAACCTTGTACCTCATTCTCACATATAGGCACCAGCCTCACCCACACTGCAGGGTTCAGTTTGTCAGCCTGGGCTAATTTGGTGAATACAAAAATTATGAAACAGCAAAAGTTTGCCCATTTGCTATGTCTCTTCTTCATTCTCCCCTGTCTTTTTTTTTGGAAATGACAGTACCCAAGAGATGACCTCAAAGTACTCTATATTATGCAATCGAGTTATATTTTGTCCTCACAACTATGTAGACTCATCATCATGACAGTAATTAATAAAGACAGTTAATAAAGGAAAAAAGTGAAGGAAGGCTGTAATAAAAGATAGCATACGTAATGAAGAAAGCAGGTTCCAACTTCATGCTGCGCATTAGGCTCTGGCTGCAAGCACTCCTCCACTAGGGACAGGAAGTTTTTGTGAACTGCAAGAATATCTTCAATATTTGAAAACAACATCTGCAAAAGAATAAAACATACATAAATAAAACATCAGATACAAAAGAGAAGAAATACGCAATTCGGAGACTAACCTTAACTGTCTCTTCTGTGACATTTTTATCCACTTTGGCCGTAGCACATTGGATCATTCTGTGAAGGAAAGCCTGCGTGAAACAAGACCAAAAAAAGAGTTATTTCAGGGAGACTTGAATAACTTTAGGCATTTTACACTTATAATTTGTTCCCCATATTTCTTATGCTTTGGATATAGAGTCACATCAGCATATTATTCAGAATCTAAACCCAGTATTTTATTTATGAAACACTTAGTGGTCCTGTTATCCTAACATGATATAAAACCCTATCTACACAGTGTTAAAAAGAGTTAAACAGTGAAATATTAATGGAACTGAGAAATTAAACATTCCCTGAAGTACCACTTCCACCCATATTACAAACAAGCAAGAGCAAAATGAGTAATTCTCAAAATCTCACTCTAGCACTTTACAAATTGACTACAAGACAAGCTGAAACAAGCTGCTAAATTCTAAATAAAAAGTAGTTGGGAGATACTACTATGAAATGTAACTCTTACCATAGTGACCACAAGTAAGAGTTCTGATGTATTAATAATCAAGGCTGTTGTAAATTGCCTTGAACAACAGTCAGCTTCACCTGGTTTTGCTTAATGAAAATGTTTGCCTTTCCCTCCCCAAGAACCTCATCCTTGAGATCAAATGAGAAGTTAATAATACCACTAATGAAATACCAAAAGAGTACTTTTTTTATATTTCACATTCAAGAACCAGAAACAACAAGAAGAGATGCACGGTAAGTAACTCCAAAAGGAATAAACCACATTTCAGGTACAAAGGATATAATTAATTCTTAAGAATTCATTCCATTATAAAGACTTGGGTACATTCTGAAAGTATCTACACACTGTAGACTAAGATCTTCCCTTGATTCCCTTCTTCACACGGGCATACATACTCTTTAGTCATTAAAAACTGGCACCACAAGTGCACAAATGTCATGTCTTTCATAACCATTTATCTCCAAGTCACTGTGCATTGTACACTGTACACAAACTCATCTAAATTCTGGCGTGGTGCAAATTCCATAGAGGAAGCAATAAATAACCCCTGTGTGGAAGGACAGCAGTCACAGCATCCCTTTTTTACTTTCTGCTGGGACTTAAACATTTGCATTCCCAAGCAGTGATCCTTTCTCTGGTGAAGAGGACTATGTAACTGGTATTGCACATTCTTATTACAGAAGAGACAAATGTAGTTATCCAGGACATACACAGAACTAAGTCTGGAATATTGCCAGCATATTGTATGTTTCACATCACTCTTGACAGTGATGTAGATTTTCTACTTCTTTAAATCCCTCTTTTTCCTGGCTATTTGAGCTTTCTTTCTAATGTTTTATTGGTGGTTAAAAATGCCATTAATTCATTTGCAGCAGTTAACTGTCAGTGGATGACAGCCATTTATATCCTTCCTCGATATGAATATCCACAGGGGTTATAGCAAATTTGCTGTGCATGTTGCCTGTGCAGTGTACAACCAATCTCACATAGTGTGAAAGCCTGCTTAACTGACTGACTCTAAATTAATTTTTGAAAGTTTACACTAAACCAGCCAACACTATTAAATATACTTTAAAACTGAGAGGAAAAAAAAAAATCACACAAACTACCTCTGAAACTCATGCCTATTTTTACTGTCTGTAATCTCTCTCTGTTCACATTATTTCCCCGTAGACCAAACATACTGCTCAACCGCACTCGTGTTATCCCAGAAGATCTTAATTTCCTGTAACTGTGAAGGAAGGTGAACATTCAATTGGCTGAAGGCAAAACTGAGAATGATTTGGGAGCTGGGGCATGAGTTACTGTTGAGTGATTCAAGACGCCAGCCAAGAGCCATGAGGTCAAGAAGAGCATACATCAGCTGCAGTAAACAGAGCTGTCCAAGCAGCACTGTCCCAGACCCCACATCTGCAGAGGTTATCAGAAACTGAATCCAGGAAAATCCAAGTTCTCGCAGAACCCAGACACAAGTCACTAAATAAGGTAGGGAGGCTTAGGATGACTTCAGCCCCTTCCAGCAACTTGGTGCAAGCCCACATGTTACGCTGCTATACTCAAACTGCAGGGGTAGTGTAGTGCCAGTTTTTCCTAAAGGTTTGCCACTTGTTTTCACTATCAATGCAGGTTTGCTTCCTGAACAAATCAATGCACTATGTCCCGCAAATCAATGGATGTGACCATTTAAATCTTTCAGCATACTTACACAGGATCACTATGATGCCACACATATCTCAAAATAATTCGAATAATCTCATGTCTTCTACAAAACTGGTGTAAGAGAATTCAGGGGAGTGCAGGTAGGAATGTAGATATCTACCTCCATCTACCTGCCACCAAGACCCATCCTTGGTGGACTTCACCTGCTGTGGAGTGAGTAATGAGTGAGCAGAGCAATGATGAATCCCAGGTTTCCATGATGCAAATGCCCTTACCAACTCCCTTCCTGGATCACTGAGACACCATACACACACCACCTCTGCTCTGGGACTTTGCTTAGGAGAACAGGCAGCTGTCATGAGGCAGGAGGATGGAGAAGTAATCTCTTTTCTTACTCTGTAAAATAACCTTAATCCAGCACTGTGATTATGGAAAAATAAATGTCTCTGAACTTGGTTTGAGAGAGAGATGACTACTCAAAAGACTCCAGAATTATTTGATCAACTGAGGACAACTAAGAACAGTTCTTCAAAAATCAGGAAACAAATAAAAAGCAGGTCATTTGTAGACACAGCTTTAAGAGGACCCCAACATAGAAATAACAGCCTTGCAAAGGAAAATAGATAAGGATGCCCAGAAACCACTCAGGAGTTGACAGCTGCTGAGCTAAAAGAAACAGAAGTTTATAGAAGCTTTTGAAGACTATATATAAACTATTACTAACACTATATAAACTATTACTAACCATAGAAAAAAAAAACACACCTGTAAAAAAAGAATGAAAAGTAAAATGGACATCTCAGACAACTTATGATTCACTAAAGAACCAGACACACAAAAGAAGTCAGAAACTCCTCTGAAATAGCACTGAGTGGTTGCTAAAAATTCTACCATAACTTCAAGTCTGCTGCTCAAACTCCAGACTCATTACTAAGGACCACATTAGGTGAAGGAGCAAAGCATTACAAATTGCAAGGACACAGCTAAATAGCCCCTGCTCCTTCAGTGAGCAAACAACTGTAGCAATCAATTGGCATACATTATTCCCAGGCTCATTAAAAAAAATTAGCTCAAACTTAATGCAATTTCATTTACCACGCACACATGTCAGTAAATCATGACTCATCTTTGTTTCCTGGAGTATACTGCACGTCTTGCTGAGGTTACTTCAAGATTCACCCACGTTAGTGTAGATGCTTCTTAACACAACATCAAGCACTGATAAAAACACATATCTCTCTGCACTTCACGATCTCTGCCACCTAGAGAGTGTTCCTCAACTTTCACAAAGCTTTTCAAGGGGATTCCAGAGTTTCTCTTAACTTACCTTCAATTTTGAGTTTTCTCAAGAAACAGCAAAGCCATATGATTTAAACATAACATCATTTCCCAAATTTTCATCCTGTGCTACCAGCATTCTAGCTACATTGCTGCAGTACAGAGATTCACCGCTGCAGCACTGCAAATGGAGATCCGCTGCCCCTGGCACTCTCTGCCAAGCAGACCCTGCTGATTTCCTGAATTCAGAGTTAAAAGAGATTTCCATGATACATTTCAGAGGAGCAAGTTGGCTGGGTACCATAAAGAGCAGTCTAAATTTAAAAGATCAGATGAAGAGGAAAGATAAAAGAGAGGATGTTTGTTATTTACCTTAAAAATTAAACCTGTTTCATTTGCCAATTTTCAGAACCATCTATAGAAAACTTTGTCGCTCTAGAAATATCCTTGAGCCACTCAGATTGCTAAAAACCCTGCCTACACAAAGTTTGAAATACAAATTAAAAACCTAAACTTTCTCAAGCGTCCTACTGGAAACTTCATTACCAAAAAATGGCATCTAAATGGCCAGTACGTAGCTGCTTTAGAGGAGAAGAAATGCCCCAAAATGCTGAGGAAGTTCTAAACATAAAGAGGCACATCTTTAGAAGTCTGATGATCTTTAGAAGTTTGATGAACTTGCAGATCAAAACATGGGGTACCAACTGAACCTTTTCAAATACGGGAGCAGCTACATGTAAAATATCTATGTGCTTGGGCTAAAGTTCCCTGACGCCACTCGGGTGCTACTGGGGACATAAAACCTTCTGTTTCAGAGTCTTTGTACCGCGCTGGTAAGGAGGAGGGTAATTCACCTCTACCTTTGAGAAATGTGGCAAAGGAATACACAGAACATTTGAAGAAGATTCTACAGTAATAGTACTTATGAGGAAAACTACATCCTTTTTTTTTAATGATTGTGTATGTATTACCTGCAAAATATTTTCACATACTTTCTGAATTAGTCTCTGTTCCAACTCTTTTTTACCCTTTGCCTGACACTGCTGCAATACACTATAGGAAACACTGGGATTGAAAACTCAAACATAAAGACTGAAAATGCAAATTAAGACTTAAAAGACTTATAAAAGAATCTGTTCATTACATCAGATAAACATTAATGTGTTTGCCTGTCTGTTGATCTGCTGCCATTTTGCGAGGCAGCACGTTTCACAGGGAACGCACACTGAGTTCCTGTTATGGGGATTTTACTTCTGTTGTTATCAAAATAAGGGTAGTATTGTTGTGTTGTTTGGTGGGGTACTTTTTTTTTCCTCTATAGTTCCTCTGTGTGTTGTTGAAAAAAAAAAAACAACAAACAACCACCACCATAGCACAAGAAGCTGCCAACAGCACAAATGACTTCTCTGACATCTGGAATGAAATCAGGGAAGACAAGTCTGCCTGCAGAAGGCTCCCAGGGCACAGAGAGTTTTCGTCTTCTCGACAGATAAGAAATTAAGTCCTGAAATTATGTCAGAGCACCTGGATCACAAAATAGATGTATTCGGAAGGCAATCATTCTACTTTTGTGAGCCTAGAGAGAAATATTAATTTTTGTTTGAAAAAGGAATTAAAGAAACAGTAACT